CCCCAAAACCCCAAAACCCCAAAACCCCAAAACCCCGGCCACGGGATTTAAGATTGAGGAACTCTAGAGAGCAATATTTATAATTAAAAATGGAATCTCTTAGAATGAAGCACACCCTTGAACCTATACCAACCTATATGAATGTAAGCTTGACTTGAAGAACAATATCCTTATAAAAACATGACTCTACAACCTAATAAACAATTCCTCCTTGAACGCTATTTTGGTTAGTTCTCTTAATTTGCTTGGCAAGTAATCAGCTTTGGAATAGGAAACTATGATCCAACTCAAAATTCCAGCTATCAAGGTACATGATTTACCCACAGGCCACTCATCTATAAGTCAGGATGAGAATTCTCTAAAAGCTTTGCATGGATCTAAGAAAATATTTTCACAGATTTTGAAAGGCCTCTCATATCTTTCTTTAGAATTTGCATCCACATTGCCTTTGTAAACTTTTAAGCTAAAATTTCTTGAATTTTACCCACTCTTATCACATGTTTAGAGAAAACTAAATTTAGCCAAGAAGCTTTTCAGGATGAAGAGAAATAAGAAACTTAGGACCCCAAGCTCAAGGAAGCAGATTTTCTTCATGAAGAGGAAGAACATGTTCAGAGTCATAAGGAATCAGGAGTCTTTGTAAATTGCATTTCATCCCTGGCTTTTAATTTTGAGTAGCATCTTTTGTCATTAATCCTAATGCTAATTACTTAGTTCAAAATCAAGGACTATAAGAAGGAAAAATAAAAGTACTCGAAGAGCCAAGAAGAGTTTGAGAGTCACCTCTAGAGTGGTAGCAAAGAGCCCTCCTCCGATGAATAACCTTAGAGTATTCTGAATTCCAGATTGCCAGGCCTTCAAAGAGCTAAAGGAAAAGTACATTGCTGTACTCAAGAAAGTTCAGAATGCAGTTGGAAGAGATCTCAGAGGATTTCACTCTCCTTTAGCACTTCAGAACGTTCTTTTAACTTGGGAATCAGTAAAGAGACAAAGTAATGCTTCCTTTTAATTTAGAGCTAATAGTTTATTAAGCATAAACTTCTATTTTAATGTTATACACAATGTGGTGATTTCTGGATATAGCCCAAGAAAATGACAAAGATTTTACATCAGAAGCAAGAGATTCTTTCCACACCCGCAACAGGCACCAGGACTTCGAGAGAAATTAGATCCAGAACTTTCAGTTAGGACATAAGCCATGCACCTTTTTGTAACGAAAGTATCTCTATAATTCTGAATTAGTAAAATCATGAGACTTCTAGATGTTCATTATGGCACCCTAGAAGCATCGCTGTATCATCTGGTGAATTTCATAAGATATTGAAAAGTGAGGAAGAGTTCAATAATTTAATATGATCACGGGGTTTTGGGGTTTTGGGGTTTTGGGGTTTTGGGG